CCAAGCCACCGGAGATGTCGCAGCAGTAGCATGTAGTCTATGATGTACACTTCGCTCCGGCGGATCACATCAGTGTCTGGCACATTGTCCCACCATTGTATGTGCAGAATCCGGCGAAGGCACTGTTGATGAAATCGTTCCAAAAACCGGATATCCTTTCTGTACAGTGTCCAAGTTTCCGATCCATAGCTAAGGACTGAGAGAACCATTGATTTGTACACCACCTTGGTTCTAACAGTGAGATGATGGTTCTTCCACACGCGATGTTCTAGTTTCCCAAAAGCCACACTTGCCTTCGCCACACGAGCGCGCAGTTCGTTGGTGATTCGCAGGTCGCTTGACATTGTACTCCCAGGGTAGCAGAAGGCGGACGTGTTCTGTAGTACTTCATCTTCAATCCGTATTTCTGGTCCTCACACGGGCTGCACTTCCGGTGCCGGCTGAAATAGACATACAGTCTTGCCTGTGTTTATGCTGAGTTCAAACTTAGTCGCTGTGGAAGCTAATATAGTCGTCATGCGTTGCAGTTCTTCCTCAGTATGTGCAAATAACGCGCAGTCATCTACAAACAGCAGCATACGAATGGTTGTCTCACGCACTAAACTTCTTGATCCAAAGCGGCGGATGTTAAGCAAACCCCCATCCATGCGGTGCTCTAGATGCACACCGTATTCGCATGTGTTGAATGCACACGACATCACAACCGTCAGGTAGATATTGAACAGTGTGGGGGCTGAGACGCATCTTTGCTTCACACCGGAGATAACGGCAAAGTCATCTGTAGTCTGTCCACTTAGCTGCACCCTTGATCGCATGCCAGTATGCAGGCATTCAATAAGGCGAATAAACTTTGCAGGGCATTCAAACTTGGAGAGAATCAACCACAACACCTCACGGTTCACCGTATCGAACGCTTTGGTGAAGTCGATGAACAAAGAATACAACGGTTGATTGCATTCACGACATTTTTCCTGTAGTTGACGTGCTGCAGAAACCACGTCGATGGTGCTTCGGCCCGAGCGGAATCCACATTGCTCCTCAGGTACATTCGGTTCTAGTACATGTGTGACAAGGCGATTGAGTAGGATACGGGCAAAAATTTTGCCAACGCAACTAAGTAAGTTGATGCCACGATAATTGTCGGTGTGTTGTTTACTACCCTTTCCCTTGTACAGCGGAATCACAAGAGCATCAGCTTAAAACTGTTACCGCGAAGGTTAGTGTTCGGGCTGAGCTTCAAGAGGTGGCGGCATACGTGACTGGATCGCTCAATATCTGGTACACCAGATATGAGGTCTCCACGAAGTCGCCGGTACCGTCCGCTGAACACTCCGAGTATCTCCAGTCGTTCCTGGTAAGGAGTGTGGCGCAAGCCCTTGACGATTTTCGTTGCTCGACGCTGTGGGGGCTCAAGCGCTGCACGGTCACGTTTTAGCCAGGGTTGCCAGGCCTGGATTGCATATTCGACGTGAGGACGCACGTAGGCATTCAGCATCAAGAGAAGATGGTTGATCCAAAATTCCGAATGCTCTTCGCAGGAGTCCAACGTGCTGGTTGCCCCTTTTAGAAGCGGAATCTGACTGTTTGGAACACCTGAGGTCTTCCTGTACTAGCACACCCAAGTCGCGTTCCTGAGTGGTGGTCTTCAGATCGTGTGCCCTAAGCTTGTAGACGTGGACTTGTCGATGGCGGATATGAACAAAGCGACATTTGTCCACATTAAACGGCAGGGCGTTTCTCACCGACCAATTCCAGGCCTCATTCAAGTCACGCTGTAGGACTTCATGGTCGTCCGATCGTTTTATCGCCCGCCAATTCTCGAGGTCGTCCGCGAAGAGTAAGAATTTCGACGTAATAACTCTTACTAGATCGTTAATGCAAAGCAGGAACCAACGAGGCCTAAGTACTGAACCTTGCGTTATGCCGCATCCTACTCGAATCGGATCGGAAAGAGATGATCGAACTCTAACTACTAACTGCCGTTCAGAGAGAAAGTTACCGATCCATCCTAACATCGGGTCTCTGATACCGTACTGTTGGAGTTTAATGAGCAGGATTCGATGATCAAGGCGATCGAAGGCTTTCGAAAAGTCCAAGAATGCAACATCGACTCCTGTTCCCTCATCGAAAGTCTCGGTCCAGTTGTCACGAGCTATCAGCAGATTCGTCGTACATGACCGTTGTTGACATCACCCATGCTCTTCTTGCGCAACCCTGCGTAGTTTTCCAAGTATCCCATTAACGCATCTGCTATCACCGCTTCCATGACTTTGGCGATCACAGGCAGAAGCGTTACGGGGCAGTAATTGGCAGGATCCGATCGCCTTCCTGCTTTGTATATGGGCGTTATTACACCTTGTTTCCACCTCGAAGGTACGATGTTCTCATCGAAACAGCGCTGAAAAATGCAGCTAGTGGTTCGGCAAGTGGATGGCAGCTACCTGTAATGTTTTCGGGTGAATGTTATCGGCCCCGGGAGAGCTGTGTGGACGCAAGGATAGCAGCTTTTGCAGCACCATTTCTGCAGTGAACGTGACGTTGGATAAAACGGGCGGTGGGGTAACTAGTGGCGGAATATACGTCGAGGCTTGTACACCTTGGAAGATTGGGGAGTACTGGGCCCGTAATGCGTTGGCCGCCTCTTTCGCAGTATGTGTATACCCATTGGTCGTATTAAGTGGTGGGATTCCCCGTTGCACCTTGCGAAGTCCATTCACATGTTTGTAAAGAAGCTTTTTGTTCGAACAGAATCGTTTGGCTAGCTCCTGCTGATGCGTTCTCTTGTCTTCGCGAACCAAAAGCACACAGTAGTTGCGATGCGAAACGTATTCCGTCCAGTTTTCTGCGCTGGGGTTGCTTTTATACGTGCGCCATGCCCGATCCCTTAGAGTCATGCATTTTCGCGTCCGGCTTCGCAGAATGATTTCGCTGTGCGGGGATGTTGGGAAACTTTTGGTGTTGAGGCTTCTATGACTAGTGACGTGATGGTGTTCGCAAATGTCTCCCAGGCTAGTTCTGGGGTGCAGTTAGCTAGAAACGTCCAACTGGTATTCTCAACTAAGGCAGACAGAACGTGGTAATGGGTAACAGATTGCCTCGTTTCGAGCTCCTCAGCTGGATATTCGGCGTAGTAGATGTAATCGAACTGCAAAGTCACGTGATCGCTACGGCCCAAAGGACTGCAAAACTTTAGTCCATCGACCATGAGCTCTTCGTTAGTGAGCACTAGATCTAATATCGATGGGTTGTTTCCTGTTCTGAACCTGGTTGGAACGAG